AATTTCTTAAATGTAAAACTTCCGGTCTTTCTTTTGCTCTTCACTATCTTTCTTCAATATTTTTTCCAACCCTTAATCAAGAACAAGAAAGGGACATAATTAGGGTTCGAATTTTTTTGGGGAGAAAAGGGTAGAATAGGAATTCAAGTTCAACCCCAAATTTGAATTCTTCTTCCCAAGGATAAGGAAAAGCTACTCGTTTGTACGAGATTTCAACCAAAATCCCCTAAAATCCAGATGAAAAGATCAAGGTGGATGCCTTAGATTGATTCACTCATCCTTGCGTTCGACGTGGTGCCCATCCACGCGAGTCAAAAATGCTGGACGTGGTTTCTATAGGACAAAATTGCAGGTCTGCTTCTGTTGTACTATCGTTGAAAGCGATGACATATTTTCGTGTTCACGCCGTGAAATCTTCTTTGTGAACATTAGAGCGTCGTTCACGCGTGAAGAGAGGGCGAGGCGCGTACAGGGTCATTCACGCGTTGGATTGTCGTGGCTCGTTTATGTCGTTGGCTTTCCATCTGGTTGTTGTGTGTTTTGACGCATTTTGGACTGAATTTAACGTTGCTTCTGCATTTCTCTATGTTGAAACTGGAGTTGGGAAGGGTCAGGAGGTGTTGGGCTCAGATTTTCACTGGGATGGAAAATAATTGGAAAAAGAGGTGGGCTGGGGGTTAATTTGAATTGGGTTGGTTTAAGAGTGGGCTGGAATATGATATTGTTGTAAGAGTTAGGCATAGGTGAGCTGAAGGAAATGGGAAAAGGCCCAAATACTAAGGTATCTTGAAGGGGTTAAAGAGGTAAAAGAAATGGTTAAGTTTGTAATAGAAAAATGGCCACGTGAATTGCAATTATGGCCAATTGGAATTCAGGATTTAACCAAACTGAGCTCGATTGACAAATATGGCTAAAATAAAAAAAATGAATTAATATGATTAATTAGTGAGCTTCTTAATCTTAACGAAATAAAAATAATTAACTTAAATATAAACTAATAACTCACAAGTATAAGTATTAATTAACTAAACCAATTAATCAACTATTTAAGTGACACTAAAATCTTTTTGAGACGATTTTCGAGTATTTGTAAAATGTGCTAATTATATACATAATTATATATAAATCATATTTGTTATTTGAAGATTGTAAAGATTGACTAGAAGTTATTTAAAATAACTTTGAAACGTATTTGAATTTTATAAAGCTAATTGTTCTAAATCGTTTGAAAATCAAGAAGCTCGAGAATTAATTATATATTGTGGAGGTCCAAAATTGGGTGTCAACAGTGGTCATAGCTCTATATTCAGCTTCAACAGAGGAACGAGATACCACAGTTTGTTTCTTAGATCTCCAAGAAATGGGTGATTTACCAAGAAACACAATGTATCTTGTAGTTGATCGACGTGTCACCAGACACCCTGCCCAATCCGCATCACAGTAAGCTTTTATAGATAGTGAACTATTCGAAGGGAATATAATCCCTTGACCTGGATTTCTTTTGAGATAGTGTAAAACTCTATAAGCAGCTTCCAGATGAGGTTGTCTTGGTGCATGAAGAAATTTGCTAATTACATGAACAACGTAGCTAAAATCTGGACGAGTGATGATGAGGTAAAGCAAGCGTTCGACAAGACAACGATATTACCTTGGATCATGACAAATTTCTCCAGAATCAAGAGAAAGCTTATGTTGTTGCTAGCTCCATGGGGAAATTAGCTGGCTTGTAACCTGTAAGTTTACTCCCTGCCAAAATATCAAGTACATGCTTACATTGACTTAGTACAATGCCTGCCAATGACCTTGCCACTTCAATGCCAAGAAAATATTTGAGCTTTCCAAGATCCTTAATATGAAATTTTGCATTTAAATGCTCTTTCAACTTGGATATGCAATCAAAATCATTTCTCGTGATGATGAGATCATCCACATATATAAGAACAACTACAAAGGAACCTCCAGAGTGGGACAATGTAAACAAGGAATAGTTTGCATTTGATTGTCGCTAACCAAGAGAAAGTAAAAAAGTAGTGAATTTATTATACCAATTTTGAGGTGCTTGATGAAAACCATACAACGATTTTTGTAATCAACACTCTTTTCTCCCCCTGTTTGGCATAACCTTGTGGAATCTTCATGTAAACTTCTTCATGCAAGTCTCCACGTAGAAAGTCATTGTTGACGTCTAATTGATAAAGTTCCCAATTTCGAACCGCAACAACCGCTAACAGACAATGAACAGTGACAAGTTTTGCAACATGTACAAATGTTTCATAAAAATCAAACCATTTAATCGAAGTGTATTATTTTGCTACCAAGCGTGCCTTGTAACGTTCAATACTTCCATCAGGTTTGTACTTGACTTTAAAGACCCATTTCGAATATATGGTCCATTTACCTAGAGGTAAAATTTGTAAAGTCCAAGTATGGTTGGCTTTCAAAGCTAAAATTTCCTTTGCTATAGCATATTTTTAATGTGTGTGCTTAACTGCTTGAGTAAAGGATTTTGGCTCATCAATAGATGAGATGGCGGTAAAAAAAGCACTGTGACTGGATAATAGTTTAGAATATGAAATAGAGTGAGATAGAGGATGTACCATTGAGTGGGAGATAGCTGATCATTTAACTGAGCAAGAGAAGGGGGCAAAACATAAACATACCCTGACAACTTATGCGAGACTTGTCGTGAACATTTACCAAGTGCAAGAACAGTAGAATCAATGCTATTAGATGCAGTAGATGGATTGATAGCTGAAGAATCACAAAAAGAAGATTCATCAAGGCTTGGTGAAGTTACTAGTAGGGGAGAAATGCTTGTGGATACAACTTCTAGATTCTCAATGACAGTACACTTCTCACTTGTGTCACAATGTCTTATGCAATTTGTTTCTTGTCCAGATGGCTCATCAAATGTAATCGGTTGACTTAAGTCGATACGCGACATCATTTTTGCTTTTTGAGAGCCTTCAAAAGGATAAATGTCTTCAAAAAATTGTACATCACGTGAAACATAAATCCTTTTATCCTCGATAAATTCTATATCCCTTTTGACCGCTGGGATATCCAACAAAAATGCAGGTTTTGCTCGTGGAGAAAATTTATTTCGAGGCTTTCTATTTAGATATCCATAGCAAAGACATCCGAAAATTCTCAAATGCTCATATGTGGGAACTTCACCAAGTAATTTCTCATATGGGGCTGTATTTTGAAAAATAGAAAGAGGCATTCGTTTAATTAAATATGCCGCAGTAAGGACATATTCTCTCCAAAACATGATAGGCAGGTGCGCTTGAAATCACAATGCACGAGCCACTTCCAGTAGATGTCTATGTTTTCTCTCAACTACTCCATTTTGTTGTGGAGTGTTTGTACAACTACTTTGACGCTCCATGCCATAATCAAACTAATGTGACAGTAAATCCTCATGCTTAAACTCTAGCCCATTTTCTGTTCGTAGGATTTTGAATCTCAATTTAAATTGTGTTTACCCAATTAAAAAAACCCGCAATAGACAAGCTTTAGTTTCTGATTTATTCTTCATGAGAAAAATCCATGTAGCTCGACTGAAATCATCAATTATGGTAAGAAAATAATGAGACCCAGAAAGAGATTGTGTCTTGTATGGTCCCCAAATGTCATAATTTTATTAAATCAAAAACATGTTTAGTCTTATTCATACTAGCGGGAAAAGATAATCGTGTTTGTTTTGCCTTACAACAAGCATCACAAAACATAGTCTTCTTTTCATCAAAACTAATAGATAAACTAGGAACTAGAGAAATACAATTCATTGGTAAATTCTCCAATCGGCGATGCCATAAACTTGCACTAACAGACTTCTTTACCATCAATGCTTGCCCCCCTTTTATCGGCTCCAAGTAATAAAGACCATTTCACTCTTTACCCCCTCCAATCAGCGTCCTTGAAGGCAAGTCCTAAACAAAAGAGTCCGGATAAAAGGTTACTTCACATTGTAAGTCATTTGTCAATTTGCTAACTGACAATAAATTAAAGCAAAAATTATGAACTTCAAGAACACTCAAGAATTAATCTTTTCCCAATGGCCACTTGGCCCAAGGCATGAACTTTCACCATATAACCATTCGGGATTTGCACTGGTGGTAAAGATGTATGAACTGCCTTATTTGACAGAGAATTTATATCATGAGTTATATGATTTGTAGCACCCATATCAACTATCCACTCCCATTTTGTCTTACCTGAAAAATTAGAGGTTGTCATAATCGTAGATGAGTTACCTGTAGATGCTCTATTGTTGCCCAACAATAATAATAGTTGTTGATGTTGAGCATGTGTCAAACTTGGAATTGGTGACATAGCCTCTTCAATAGTTACAACAAGGGTCGTACCTGCGAGTGAGTTTGGTTCCTTTTGATTTTTCTAATGCCCACAAAATTGTATTTGATCACGAAACTGCATCTGATCATTATTGGTTTGCTTGTTGTTTTTCTTGTCGGGTTTATGCTAATCTGGAGGATAATCAATCACTCTGTAGCAGTAGTCTTTGGTGTGATTAGTTCTCCCACAGTGTATGCAAGGTGGAAATTGATGTCGAACCCCATCCTCAACTTTCCTTTGTCGTGATTCACCCACTCTTGTCAGCAAGGCAGTTGCTTCAATTGTGGATATGCGATTTGTAGCAGCAAATCTCTGTTTTTCTTCTTATGCCGTGATAGCATAGGCTCTTCCTAAGTTTGGCAATGAGTCGACACTTAGTATTTGAGAACGTATAGTTGAATATATGTCATCAAGTCCCATTAGAAAATCAAAAACCTTTTCCTCCCCCTTCATGGATTGCATCTTCTTTGTTGCACCGCATTACAACCACATGTGCAAGACACAGTTAGCATGAGACCTTGCAATTCACCCCAAACAGACTTAATTTAACCGTAATAGGATGAAATAGAAGCTCTCTCTTGTTGCAAGAAAGCGATGTCATGCTTCAATTCATAAACTGTTGGTGCAATTCCTTGGGTAAATCATTCCTCTAGATTTACCCAAATTTCTCTAGCAGTTTCAACGTGTGCGGCGCTACCCTGCAATTCCATGGCAATTGCATTTGTAAGCCATGAAAGTACAATGGCATTGCATTGTATCCATGGCTGTAAATCCTGAGAGTTTTCTTTCGGTCTCTCAATGGTTCCATTAACAAATTCAGCCTTGTTTTTAGAGTGAAGTGTGTTCAAAAAATTTCGTCTCCAAGTGAAATAGTTTTCTCCATTTTCACCAAGTGGATTGGTAACAAAAATCAAACCTGGGTGGTCTGATGGATGCAAGGAATAGGGAGAAGCGTTTGCGACTTTGGGTTGAGGCAGACTCGCTAGTTCATTAGTGTGGCCTTTAGTTCCCATGGCTGGAAAAAAAAATTCTCATGATCTTTTAAGACGCTTTTGATACCATGTAAAATAAGATTACCCAACTGAGTACTTTTATTGATAATACATCTCAATTTTATATATAAGTTGTACCAGCTCTATAACTAAGGAAACGTATCTTTACATTTAATTACAAATATTCTGATTTATATATCTAAGGAAACATATCCTCTGATTGCGCAATCACATAGGATCTTCCAATAGTATTCGAAAAGGATGACAGATCAGCGAAAGCTTTCACTTTTGCCACATTTTTCGACCATGTATATCATTATGTATCACACACTTATTTTGATGGATGCACACAAATATACATATGATACACAGATATGCATTCAATATATACATAAATATATTGCCAAATATACAATGTTATATATCTTCTGGCAAGAGATTTGTATACACCATTATATGATTTCTGATCATGGCAACAGCTGAAAAGAAGTATTCCTATATTGCATAAGTCTTATCTTATTGATGCAAACAATAAAATGAATATGGAATATTTGGCAGCTAATTAGACAAAGATTCAGGTTGAATGCTTATGAAATGTAGTTTTTTGTGTACTTCGAATGTTGTATATAAAGTAGACATACTGCTATGCTTCAACAATACTTGTCGTTGCAATCAGAGAGTTTAGAATAATTCCGTCATCGATATCTATCTCTTATTTCATATATTCTCAAAATTTCTCTCTACAATGTGAATTACTCTTGATTTTTAGGTGTATAACAGTGTGAATACATTATCTATACATAGTTATATATTGTTTATACATGATTATACAAAATAGATATATAATTTATAATGTATAATACAGTATAAAAGTGTATATATATATAGTTATAAACTGCAAAAATTTTCCGAGAGTCCAACGTAAAATTGCAAATCATGCCAATTTGTTAAGAACTTTACGAATTTCTTGAAATTTGACTTTAATTTACTAAGATATCTACGTATTAAATTTAAATTCTATATTTCATAGTCAGGATATACTAATTTTACTGGCGATACATACGACATCTTCATTGAAATGAATTCCACATATTTTATTCTTAACAATAAATTTCTGATGGTAAATATGGGTCTTAAGAGAGTCTAAATGTGTGCCAAAGTCCAAACTTAGAAATCTGATGGTATCGCGGTTTGGTTATTTAATAGTATTAAACATAGGTTTATTGGATGATTTTGTTGTCCTAAAAAATAAAAAATAAAATTACACAATTTTTCATAATTTTGTTCATCAAATTTTTATTTCGTGCAAGTAGGGTAAAAATTAATATTCATGGTTATCGAAGCAGTTGAATACCCTCTACATGAAGAAATTCTTTATTAAGGAGGCAAAGGAACTCCAAAATTTTCTCAGGATAATAAGTTCAAATCTTATCCATTGGTGTGATATTTTTTAATCCGTCGTATAAAATCTCAGCTCCGTATTGGGTTCTGTACATAACTACCATGTGGCAAAAGTACAAAGATTATTTCTATATCACGATAAGTTACAACAACAAAGAACATCCGCCAGCGTAAAGAAAAAAATTGTGCCAAGTACGTATTTCAAATTAACACATGAAATCTTTGTCAAAATATTTAAATAAATTTGCTGTCCTGTTTGATATGTTATAATAACTATAAGTTAATAAAGAAAAATAAGTGTTAAGAGTATTAATTTTGTTTGGTAATTTAGCAAATTTAATTGCACTAGTTCGAAAACAGCCTCTCTACCAGGAAAAATGTATGCATACACACCATTCTCCCCAAACTCCATTTGTGAGATTATACGGAGTATGTTGTTGTTGGAATTAAGCAAATTCAAGAAGACAAGTAAGAAATATTAAAACGTGGTAACAGTTGAATCATGAGCTAATCCATTGTGATTAATTTCTCAAACCGCCAATTTATCACCCCTATATGTGATTTACATTTTACACTCTTCAGGATATGTACTCAAAGCCGAGGAGAATATGATCATGGCCCAAAGAATGACCTGAATTCCAATTAGGTACTCTCACAGTTTTAAGGAATGTACACAAACATGGAAGCAAGAGTTTTCCATGGCTCCATCAAACTTGATACAAAAGCCAAATAATGTTGTTTGCAACAAATTTTAAACATATGGAAAATAAATAAACCACAAAAATAAAATATGAAGAAACATAATTTTATTCATCAAGATAGCGGCTACAATCCTGTTCCTCCCTTGATTCTCCTCTCCTAAGATTTATCCATGTTTTGAGGTATTTCTCGAACTAGGATGATTTAGATTTGACCTCTATATGAATATTCCATGTCTTTTGTGGAATATATCGAGGTCTTGATCTCTTTATGAAATTTTTGAGATGCCTTTTAAGAGAATTTAGTACCATTTATATAGGCATAAACTAGGGTTTAGGGTTGAGTAGCCTCCAAGAATCCTAATTTGAGTTGAACACAATTAGTAGAGTCCCAACTAGAATTGAACACATCTCGTAGAGTCCCACAAAATTTCAGTGTCTACAAATGCATTGACTATTGAAGTACAAGACGACGAGTAGTTGATGCACTCTGCAGTAATGGCTATTGAAGAAACTACTACTACAGCATATTCAGTGTAATGCTACAAGTGGGATTTGGAGAGGAGGTTACATATGCAACCTTACTCCTACCTTGAGAAGATAGAGAGGGTGTTTCCGATAGATCCTCAGAGCTATTAAAGAAACTATGATCATGAATACGATAGATTCTACATTGAGATTCTTCAAAGCTTATAATTATATATGCCTCAAATTCCAACGGAGTTGGAGGCATCAGTTGGTATATAGGTTTCTGAGACCTAATCCGAATCGGAAGATAGCACAGAGGATCAAACACGAATATGAACCAGGAAAGAAAATCAAGCATTTATCCTCACCTGCACGCTTAGTTTGAGAAATTGATCACAGGAAACTTACCAGACCACTGTCCCAAAATCCGTTGCATTGTGTAGGTAAAAGCCACTTCTCCTCATCACAACAAGTCTCATCAACATCAACTATCAACTCAACACAAATATGAATGCCTACAATTCTATCACCTCTGCTAAAAGGTAAGCACCACAGCTTTCAACTGAATAAGCACTTTTGTATGATTTTAAGTATAATCTGCATAGTTAAGGAACATACTACATCTATCGACCACAATCAGAAATACATAATAGTATAATCATACATATCAACACCAAAAACATTTCATAGAAAATTGATGACTGACGAGGAAATACAACCTAGTACTCCACTAAATATTATGTGGTAAACCCCAGTTATTACTCAAGTTGGAGATTATTAAAATGGGGATTTAAAACAAAACATAGATACAGAAAAGAATGGAGAATAGGTACCAAAACAACAAGGGAATGGAGAAATTCACACCAACCGATCCCTCAAACTAGCAGAAACACTTTTTGTCTACGACTTACTCAAAGCAAATCCCAACTTATTTGTGATTGGGCAGCTGCAGCATGGGTGCTTGATGTGGTTGTAGGTGATGAGAAATGATCCAGCAATGGTGCTGGAGTGGAATCAAATGTTTCCCATTGTGTTGTTATGACAACAGACCCTGAGGTCGAGTGCCTCGATTGGTGCTGCTGTTTGCTTTGTACTGGTGAATTCCCAAACGAATGCCTATCTTGATGTTGTTGAACTGGTGATGATGCCTGCTCATTCGAATACATATAATCTTGATGCGGACGAGCTGGGGGAGATTGGTCTTTCGGAGTGTGGTTTCCATTGTTTGTTGGCATTGAATTTTTTATCTTCAACACATCTAGTGTTTCAACACACTTTTGCACTTTTCTCACCTGCAAACATTAATCACATCATTTAGAACTTCCATTCCAAATTAAAATGTTGAGCTTATGTCTCAAGATATTGCAGAAATAAAGCATATAACTGCATTATCTCTAAATGATCTCTTTTCCAGAAATTCAGCTAGCAATAGCTAACTTTAAGAGTCCTCTCTAGCTTGAATTTAGGAGTTAGTTTTTTCTTTTGATTTTTCGGTTAGGAATTGAAGCTATAAATGTATGTATTGACTTATTAATAAAATAAATCCCTTTGATTGCATCGCCAGTTATTGAGATAGTTATGCAGAATGTCAGCCCATAAACTTTACTTATCATCTATTTAGGCAAACTTGTACAAATTAGAGAAAATGGTGTTCGGCCATATTATTTACCAAAATATAGCCAGACACAACCTTTCTCTTCGTCCTCTTTCTTCTTCTTCGCTGTCCTCCTCCTCCTTCTTTAAAATTTGATTTACCGTAAACGTGAATCTTTTTGAGTGAATTATATATGAAATGACTTGAAACATCAAAAGAATTGCATACCTAAAATTTTGGGACTATTTAGAGGAGATTTTGAGTTGGTCGATATTGAATAATTAAGGAGTGTATACTTCATGTATAGTTAAAATATGGTATAAATTATAGGAACCACATATTATAAGTATTAAATAACATTTTATCCCTTCTAGTTTTCTATTTACCAAAAATCCCTTAAAAATGATGTTTGCGGGATACATAGCGTTGTGCACGGGATACATTAGATTTGATACATTCCACATAGCGGAATACATAGCGTTGTGCACCGGATACATTAGGTTTGATACATTTCACTTAGCGGGATACATAGCGTTGTGTACGGGATACATAGCGTTTGATACATTCCACATAGCGGGATACATAGCGTTGTGCACGGGATACATGCGGGATACATAGGTAAATAAGGGATTTTTGAAAATTTTGAAATAAGTAAGGATAAATGGATATTAAGGGAAGTAAAGGAGTGTAGTTAAATAATTTGTCCTAAAATATATTCAGCTTTAAGTAATTTGTCCTAAAATATATTCAGCTTTTTGAATGTATCATAATGTATAATCAGTATATACTTTCTATATGCAAATATAAACATAACTATATTTATTGTATATATTTGAAACTATCTCCCATTGTTTGCCTAA